TGGCAGAATTAATAAAGAAACAAGACTCATCAATATGCTGCCTACAAAAGACTTCAAACCCAAAGACATAATGACAGACTAAAAGTGAAGGGATGGAAAAAGGTATCTCATGCAAATAAGAAGAAGAAAAAAGCAGGAGTAGCAGTACTTATATCAGACAACATAGATTTCAAAACAAAATAACAAGAGACAGAAAAGGACATTACATAATGATAAAGGGGTCAGTCCACAAGAGGATATAACCATTATAAATATCTACGCACCAAATATAGAAGCACCTAAATATGTGAAACAAACAGAATTAAACGGCGGAAATAGAATGCAATGCATTCATTTTAGGAGACTTGAGCACCACTCACTCCAAAAGACAGATCAACCAGACAGAAAACAAGTAAGGAGACAGAGGCACTGAACACTGCATTAGAATGGATGGACCTAACAAACATCTACAGAACACTCCACCCAAAAGCAGCAGGATACACATTCTTCTCAAATGTACATGGAACATTTTCCAAAATGGATCACATACTAAGCCACAAAAAGAGCCTCAGTAAATTCAGAAACATTGAAATTGTGCCAACCAGCTTCTCAGACCACAAATGTATGAAACTAGAAATAAATTGTGCAAAGAAAACAAAAAGCCCACAAATGCATGGAGGCTTAACAACATGCTCCTAAATAATTAGAGGATCAATGACCCCCAAAAAACAGATCATGCAATATATGGAGACAAGTGAAAACAACTCAACAGCCCAATCCGTGGGATGCAGAGAAAGCAGTTCTAAGAGAAAGTATATATAGCAATACAGGCTTACCTTAAGAAATAAGAACAATCCCATATGAACAGTCTAAACTCACAATTATTGAAACTAGAAAAAGAAGAGCAAATGAGGCCTAAAGTCAGTAGGAGGGACACAATAAAGATCAGAGCATAAATAAGGAATATTGAGAAGAACAAAACAATAAAGAATCACTGAAAACTTGAGCTGTTTTTTTTTGAGAAAATAAATGTAACAGATAAACCACTACCCAGTCTTATCAAGAAAAAAAGACAGTGTACACACATAAACATAATCAGAAAATGAGAAAGGAAAAATCACTATGGACACCATGGAAATACAAAGAATTATTATAGAATACTATGAAAAATCGCAGGCCAACAAACTGGATAACCTAGAAGAAATGCACAACTTTCTAGATAAATACAATCTTTCAAGACTGATGCAGGAAGAAACAGCAATCTGAACTGACCAATTGCCAGCAATGAAATAGAATTGGTAATCAAAACACTACCTAAGAATAAAACATCTGGACAAGATGGCTTTACTGCTGAATTTCAACAAACATTTAAGGAAGACCTAATACCCATCCTCCTTAAAGTGTTACAAAAAGTAGAGTAGGAGGGAATACTTCAAAACTCAGTCTATGAAGACAGCATCACTCAAATATGAAAACCAGACAAAGACACCACAAAAAAAGAAAATTACAGACCAACATAGATGCAAAACCCTCAACAAAATATTAGCAAACTGAATTAAAAAATACATCAAAAAATTCATCCATCATGATCAAGTGGGATTCATTCCAGGGATGCAAGGATGGTTATATCTGAAAATCTGTGAACATCATACAACAACAAAAATGGCAAAAATCATATGATCATCTCAACAGATGCTGAAAAAGCATCTGACAAGATTCAAGATCCATTCATGATAAAAAAAACTCAACAAAATGGGTATAGAGGGTAAGTACCTCAACGTAATAAAGGCCATATATGACAAACCCACAGCCAATATCATACTTAACAGCAAAAAGCTGAAAGCTTTTCCTCTAAGACTGGGACCAAGACAATGTGCCACTCTCCCCACTTTTATTCAACATAGTACTGGAGGTCCTGGACACGACAATCAGACAATACAGAGAAATAAAAGGCATCCAGATTGGTAATGAGGAAGTTAAACTGTCCCTATTTGCAGATGACATGATACTGTACATAAAAAACCCTAAAGAATCCACCCAAAAGATACTAGAACTAATAACTGAATTCAGCAAAGTTGCAGGATACAAAATTAATATGCAGAATCTGCTGCATTCCCATATATTAACAGTGAGCTAGCAGAAAGAGAAATCAGGAAAACAACTCCAATTTGTAACTGCATCAAACAGAATAAAATACTAAGGAATAAAACTAACCAAGGAGGTGAAAGACCTATACCCTAAAAACTACAAGATGCTCATCAGAGAAATTAAAGATGACACCAATGGAAATATATCCCATTCTCATGGATAGGAAGAATTCATATTATCAAAATGACCATCCTGCCTAAAGCAATTTACAGATTCAATGCAATCCCCATTAAAATACCAACAGCATGCTTCAATGAACTAGGACAAATAGTTCTAAAATTCATATGGAACCACAAAAGACCCCGAAAAACCAAAGCAATTCTGAGAAGGAAGAACAAAGCTGGGGGGATTATGCTCCAAAACTTCAAGCTCTATTACAAAGCCACAGTAATCAAAACAATTTGATACTGGTACAAGAGCAGACCCATAGATCAATGGAACAGAAAAGAGAGTCCAGATATAAATTCCACACATATATGGCCAATTAATATACAATAAAGGAGCCATGGATATACAATGGTGAAAAGACAGTCTTTTCAAAAACTGGTGTTGGCAAAATTGGACAGCTACATGCAAGACAATGAAACTGGATTATATAATTCCATACACAAAAGTAAACCCGATACGGATCAAAGAACTGAATGTAAGTCATGAAACAACAAAACTCATAAGAAGAAAACATAGACAAAAATCTACTGAATATAAATATGAGCAACTTTTTCCTGAACAGAATAATAAAAAATGAATATATGGGACTACATCGAACTAAACAGCTCTGTACAGCAAAGGACACCATCAGGAGAACAAAAAGGCATCCTACAGCATGGGAAAATATATTTGTAAGTGATTTAACAGGTAAGGGATAAACATCCAAAATATATAAAGAACTCACACACCTCAACACCCAAAAAACAACTAACGTGATTAAAAAATGGGCAGAGAATCTAAACAGACACTTCTCCAAAGAAGAAATTCAGATGGCCAACAAGCACATGAAAAGATGGTCCACATTGCTAATCATCAAGGAAATATGAATTAAAACCACAATGAGATATCACCTCACACCAGTTATGATGGCCAACATCCAAAAGACAAGAAACAACAAATGCTGGTGAGGAAATGAAGAAAGGAGAACCCTCCTACCTGTTGGTGGGAATGTAAATTAGTTCAACCATTGTGGAAAGCAGTGTAGAGGTTCCTCAAAAAACTAAAAATAGAAATACCATTTGACCCAGGAATTCCACTCCTAGGAATATACCCAAGAAAACAAGACCCCTGATTCTAAAAGACATAAGTGCCCCTATGTTTATCTCAGCACTATTTACAATAGCCAAGAAATGGAAGCAACCTAAGTGTCCATCAATAGATGAATGAAGAAAATGTGGTACATACACACCATGGAATATTATTCAGCCATAAAAAGAAAACAAATCCTACCATTTGCAACAACATGGATGGAACTAGAGGGTATTATGCTCAGTGAAATAACCTAGGCAGAGAAAGACAAGTATTAAATGATTTCACTCATTTGTGGAATAAACCAACAAAGCAAAACTGAAGGAACAAAACAGCAGCAGACTCACAGACTCCAAGGAGGGCCTGGCAGTTTCCAAAGGGAAGAGGTTGGTGAGGGTGGGTAGAAGGGAATGAGAAGGGGATTAAGGGGCACTATAATTAGGAACAACAATATAGGTAGGTCATAGGAAAGGTAGTACAGCACAGAGAAGACAATTAATGACTCTATAGCATCTTACTATGCTGACAGAAAGTGACTGCAATGGGGTTGGAGGGACTTATAATATGGGTGAATGCTGAAACCAAGATGTTGTTCATGTGAAACCTTCATAAGATTGTGTATCAATGACACTTTAAGTAAAAATAAATAAATAAAAAACATACATACATACATACATACACAAAAAACCACAACTGTGAAACCGTATTTCTGAGACAATGTGATAAATCTGCATGTAGATTGGCTTTTCAATGGTATTAAAATACTACTATCAACTTTATTAGGTATAATGATATTTAAAAAGATAGTTATCTGTTAGAGAGTCACTACTTCAGAAATGGTGGTTAAAAGGATAGGGTGGCTGAGATTTATATCAAAATATTCCAGCAGCTAGAGGAGGAAGCAGTGAAAGAAATGATGAATCAATCAGAACTGGGAAAACCTGTTGAGGTCTGGTGGATGGTCACCTTATATGACTTTCTCCATTTTATGTAAGTTTTAAACTTTTCCTAAGAACAAGTTAAAAAAACAGAAAAACACACTGAGAAATGTATAATTTCAAATCATTTATCTTCGGTCGTCTAAAAACTTGCTGATGAGATAGCAGTTTTTCTCAGAGCAACCATGTTAAAACTTTTGTTTAGGTTCCCAGGATGGCGTTCTAAAGTCCAATTGATACAACAATAATATTTCTCAAAGAGGTTTTTTTGATATTCTCAGTGGATTGATTTTTTGTGGAAGGATTCCTATCTTGACCATGGAAGAACATATAGAGCCACTGGCCCAAGACACTCAGTGTAACATTATGCCCTCTAGTTACTGTGACAGCAACAGGAAAAAACAACTCCCATTTCCCCAAATGCTTCTGTGGAGCAGTGAGGAACCAGTTCTGGTTGAGAACCATTACCTTAGACTAGGTATTGCTCATTTGCAATTAAAAAAAAGAGAAGACAAGAAACAGCAATACTAAATGAATGTGACAGTTTAGTTTCAGATAATGTGAGGGCCACAAAAATATTAGTAAGGAATGAACTGGCTATCAAAAAGCAATTTTTAATTAAGAAAAAAAAAAGTCAAATTTGTGTTATTACTTCATGCTGGGAGTTGGGTCCAGAAAAGAAATCTTGAGTATACATACAGTCAGCATTTTTCAATGACTGCTTCTTTTTGGAAGGTTTGGAGATGACTTTTATCCGCTTGCTGAGAAACACACCAATGTCATCACTGTTGCCATAGAACATCTTTACAGACAACATGAAGTGCTTTCTCTTGTCTGAATCAGATATGTACAACGTTTTGGCGGTACAATAGTTCTGTGAAAGAAAAGGAAAGTTTTAATAGAACCCAAACCTCTCTGGTTATATATCTACAACTCAGGATGGCCACGGGTAGGTTTCATTGGGCTTAAATGCAATGATTTCAATGACTAGTTGATAAACCCAACTTTAAAAATTACTGAAATTACAAAATAGTCCCCTTTATCAAGTCTATAACATATTAACATTGTGATCCATTTTATCCTCTTTAAGAGACTTTAAAAAGAATCCTCTTTTCTTGTGGCACAACAGTTCTCCACTTATATCACCAAATTATTGCTACAGCAATTTTTAAAAATAGAATATTAAAACTAAAAAAAAAAATCCATGAGTTTATTTCTGCAAAAACTGATCAACAAACAAAACAACAACATATAAATAGGGCATCAGAATTTGATCAAATTCTATAAAAGATTTTTAGCAGTGGTCCTTCTCAAAATAAGTATATATACTGCTTTTCTTTGCATAGCTGAACACTTAAGAGTAGCCATCCATGTCAGAGGAAAATAATGTTAGACCAACTGAAATATTATAAAATATTCTATGCCAGAAAGGGATTATGTGAGTATAAACAACTCTTATACAGAAATATTTAACTTTGCCCACTGGGATAATTCATATCGTATCACCAAAAGAACTGAATTTAAAAGTACTAGAGAAAATCAACACAGCTGCCAGAAAATAAATTCTTGTAACTGAAAAGGTAATATTCAAGAGTTACAGCACTTGCAAAATCAGCACACTCAAAATTCTGTCATAATTGCTGACCCTTGAACAACATGGTTTTGAACTGTGCAGGTTTACTTATATATGGATTTTTTCCAGTAAATGCATTGGAAACATTTTTGGAGATGTGCAACAATTTGAGAAAATACATTTTCTTTTTTCTAGCTTATTTCATTGTAAGAATATAGTATTATTATCATATACAAAGTACATGTTAATTGACTGTTTATGTTATTGGTAAGGGTTCTGGTCAACAGTACACTATTAGTTAAGTTTTTGGTGACTTAAAAGTTATATGCAGATTTTCAACTAAGTGGGGTGGTGGTGGTGGTGGGGTGGTTGTTGCCCTGAATGCCCATGTTCTTCAAGGGTCAAGGGTATTTCAAATACGTATGACAATTCTAAAATATTTCCTATTTTCCAGATCCCTGTGAACCAGGGAAGGGACTAAATTATTGATTTCCTTTTCCAGACTGGGTAAATGATGCTCAAACACAGCTTACATATGTAAAATAATGACATTTTCTAGAAGATCAATTAAAATTAGACTAAACAAATTTACCACTTCTGCTGTGTCTTCCTTTTAAAAAGCAGGGCAAATGCCACAGTTAGGAAACAGCTAATGTACTCTAAATTTTTAATCTTTAAAAATTTTAATCACAGGCAATTTTAGTCGCAGAACAAAAATAACACCATAGTTTATTTCATTTATCAATAGCAAAGCTACATGAGAAAGTATGTGTGCGATCCTGAATATTTTATACTCAAGTTGTATAAATTAAAATGTGGTAAAAGCTTTGAGATGTTTTGTTCTGCGGAAGACAAAATTAAGATAGAGGTAACAATGGTAATAAGAAATATAAAAATATAAAATACAAAAATCCCTTGTATTCACACAGCTCCTTTCACCTAAGGATCTCCATGCACTCAGAGATGCTATGGCTGGCACCATGGGTCTGCCACTCTTTAAAAAACACTGAGAGTCAAATTAAACCTAAACTATGGAACTGTTCTGAACATAAGACAAAGTCTTGGAAAATGGGTATCTATATATACTGAAGAGATAGTCACAGGGAAGAAATGAAATGTGTATTTAAATGAAGGCAATTACAGTTTAATGGGAAAACTTAGAAATGTTGAAATCACCTAATTTGAGTGTTAACATTAAGGGATATGATCTATATCAGAAAAGAGAAAACACTGAAATCTAGCAAAAATTAGACAGATTGGTAAACAGGAAAGAGAAAAAAAGCAGAGAAGGTTGAATTCTAAGAAGTCTACACAAAAGGCTTTGTTTAGAAAAAGCAAAACATATTTCTGTGGCAAAAAAAAAGGTTAATATATCCCTAATTACAAAAATGAGTAGTCTGAATCCATAAAAAAAGAGATCTACCTGAGATAACCTTATTATTAAAAAAAAAAA